TCCTTGGAAGGAAAAAGGTTGCTGTACAGTTGCTCACAGACAGCAAGAGCCTCTTCGACATCATCAGCAAAGGAAGCCGCACATCGGAAAAGAGACTAATGCTCGATATTGCTTGCGCACGCGAAGGATACGGCAAGTTCGAGATTGATGATATTGGCTTTGTGCGGTCTGGAGATAATATTGCAGATGGTCTCACAAAAAGAATGAAACAAAGCAGTTTATTGAAAGTGCTAACTACATCTACATTAGAGATCAAACCGGAACAATGGATTGTCAGAGAGACCATCTCAGACACCCTCGCCATTGGAATTTCTCAGATGCCCGACTCTGTGTAACTTGCATCACGCACTAATGTGCATTGTGAGCTCGGGTGATCAGCTTTTAATGCCAGAGAGTGCCCCTCCAGGTATAAAACCCTCGTGAACTTATCAGGCGGGACTAGTTAAGGCAAGCTTTCACACCACGTCGACACAGAGCCGTCACCCCGAAGGATGATTTAAAAGCTAACTGGAGCTTAAGCATGAGAATCCAAGTTGGGTCATCAGGCTGTCGAGTGGAAAGAACAAGGCAGGTTGATGAGAAAATATTTGCGCATCGAATTCTGGTCTGCATTTATACTGATATTTTAACGACCGTTCAGGTAATTTTTTTTCTCATCTGAAATTTGCAGTGCACTTGAAACCGGTTCCGTCATTGCAGAAGTGAACATGGGTACTCATCTTGACTCCTTTTGAGACTCAAAGCGCTAAGGAGTCGCATTTATCGGACGAGATGCAGCGAAAGGGGGGAGTGTCGATGGAGTGGAGCCGGCCACTCTGTACAGTATCTATACAGTACCTGTACAGTACCGGACACCACTCTATTTTCGCCTTTCGGCTCGTGGCTTTCAGCCACGAGCGCCGCCGTCCGATTATATACCTGCGACTACCACCTCTCTCGATCTAGCGAGGGCAAGAGGGAACTAAGTAAAGACTGACCATCGTCACTTTACTTTTACCTGCGCCGAAGCGTAGAGCCTCGATCCCCCACGCGTCTCTACAATCACCACCGCTTCCGCTACCTGACAACGTCTTCCCTCGTCTCAGCTTGGACTGAGATCGCGCTGTCAGCCCAGACCCTCGTGTGCAGCGACAATACCACGCTGTGGGCAAGACCCCATCCTTCGAGCTTAAACAATTGCGGTAAACTGTCAATAATTCATTCTAGAATTACGCCCGGAGATATGTGAGACAACTGTGTCACAACATCCTGCAACTGCAGCCCAAAAAGAAAAGAAAAAAGTGAACAATTCTTGATGAACACATGCGGAACAATCGTGTTTATGCTTGACCCAACATACACAAGCATGAGAGTGGTACAAGCTTAGAGCACCCCTAGTCGTAGAGTAAATGAGCAAATTTTTGATTTTTGGAGATAGATTTGGTCACGAGCAGCTCTAGTGGAGTGAGTACAGTATCTCTAAAAAATTTACCATTTTGAGTAAATCTATCTCCAAGCAGCCGACCGGATGGAGACAGATTTACTCATTTGCGCAAATAGAGATGCGAGTAGAATTGCGCCACTTGGAAAAATTACCAAAAACCCACGCCAATTCTATTGACTTGGTGCGAGCAATGTTCTCTGTGCACAGGGAACACACTGTTTTCTGTGCACAGGGAACACCCCCAACACCCCCATCCCAAGCTGAATTTACCCGCCACTGCCACCCTCCTGCATTCTTCCTGACGCCTTCCCTTCTCCCTTTCCTCCTCCTCTCCTCCCTGCCCTCCCTCCAGGGCATGATGGTGTCATGTGGGGCTTGAGGAGATGGGAACCGGAGACGTCCCCCACAGTATATCCGTACAGCACCACCACTACCATCCCTCGTACTGGCTGCCGAAAGATCCAATCACTGCACAACACGTTTGAATTTGCCCTCTAACCGGTAGTGTTGCGCCTAGAATCGCTATCTCCAAACGCTAAATTTCTCATATTTAACCTCGAAATATAACTAAACCAGTAGGGGTGCTCTTAGACTTTACCCTACCTACAGTATGTCGTGCTGTGCTACTGCGATACCGATTCGAGCAAGAGCTCTTGCTGCGATACCGATTCGAGCGATACCGATTCGCTCTTGCTGCGATACCGATTCGAGCAAGAGCTCTTGCTGCGATACTGATTCGAGCGATACCGATTCGAGCAAGAGCTCTTGCTCGAATCGGTATCGCAGTTTTTCGGCTTTTCACGAACCTCCCATCCAACAGCCCGCAACGTGCCGGCTTTTGTTTGGCAGAATTCGGCCACTAAAAATGGCACGTGTATTTCATATGTGAATGTTATCTGAAACTCTCTCTGGCGTAAACTCACTATTGATAGTTCATGTGAACCAGTGGCAACAATACTGGAAACGCGTTCTGTGAATGAATGTTATCTGTCTCTCTCTGGCGTATACTCAATATTGATAGTTCTCATATGAGGCCAGCTTTTTTTGCAAAAATACTGTATATACATTAAATCGAAACTTTAAAAAAGTCAGTTTGGACACCATTTCTTTAACGTATACGCCCTCGGCAATAACATCTTGCAAAACATTGGGATGGCGGTTGTCAATACATGGAGAGACTAAGAATCTAATGAAGTTTCAATGATCAGTTGACTTTTTAAACAGGCGTTTTGGTTTTGAAGATATCAACATTAAACGTTTTGAGGTTGGTCAAAAAGGCTCCTTTTTTGGGCATTCTAAAAATGGCTGGAAAAGACGTACAGATCTCACCAAACTCCACCCTTCCGCAACGCAGAAGTCAACTGCGGTGGCGAGAGTATCTTTTTCCATCTCGTTGACCTAGCACAAGTCGAGAAAAAATAAGTTGAAAAGTGACCTCATATGAGGTCATTTGTCACCTAGACACTAGTTGTATCCTCGAGAGTTCCGCTCATGCCGCCCATGAAAGTGAAAGCCTGCCAAAGTGATTTGGCAAGCTTCACTTTCTTTGGTTTCATGGCGTTTCGCCATGACGGGCGCCCTGAGTTCCCGAACCTTGGCATCTTATATCTAAAGTTGTTTGACGTACTCCTCTGCTCTTCGGGCTGCTTTGTGCCGAAACTTTGCACACAACAAGAAAACCATCTATGCATACAAGTGCTCTTCGGAGCATATGCGTACAGTTTGCTGATCTCCCCCGAAACTGGGAAGGCATCTGCAAATTTCAAAGCCCACTTTTCAACCTATCGTTCGGACATCGAACGGCAGGCTCTACATCTGTAACCTTGAGCCCCCAAGCGTGTCTTTGATTTCACAACTGAATCAAGCGCGTTCAGAGGTATAAAGAGTGTACTGACAGTATCCAGAGGTGAAACCATCGACTGTGAGAAGCTTACAATTGCATTGACACACTCAACCAAAACACATGATCTGTGTTTGTGATGCTCGATTACTGTTATCGAATATTGAGCTCTCCACGCAAAAGGCAACGTCCTAACCGAGGTTGCGAGCTCAGCTGGAAACTGGGTTCAAAATGTTTAGGTATCCACTCTTAATTATCACCGAACTTCTATGGCGTCACGTGCAATGTACTTGTGGAAAACCGCGACGCTGTTGCGCGCCTCACCGCAGCAAGTGTGGTCTATCGGGTGCCTAGCTAGTCCCACGAATAGAGTTGTGTTAGGGTATCACCACAACACGCGGAGGGATGCCCGGTTAAAAACTTGCGGTACAGCTCTGCACTTTAGACCGTGGGCAATACTGAAATCACGATAACGCAGCGTACTGAGAGAGGTTGACGGTGAATACAGATGTTCGACAATGAACTGACAGGGTCACAGCTTCCGCGGTGGTCGCTGCGTTGTGGACCACGGATTGTTCAAGAAAGAAATCGCCCCGGCGACTGGAAATCCTCTCGCTGCCCTTGACAAATACCCCTTAGATAGCTATTTGATTCTACCAGTGGGGATGCTTTAAGGTACAACATGGGGAAGACCTCCTGTGAACGGTTGCGTTCAGATTAACACGGCTGTGGTAGTGGCTGTGAATTTTGGAGGCTGCAAAAACTAAGACTGCATGGAATTTAAAGTTGTGATGGTGCTTTCGCAGCTGCGGCAGGAAGTACGACGACCACCAAGGAAGCCCAAGGCCGAATGTGTTTACATACATCTCCTGTATTCTCCTCCACGCCGATGAAGTCTAGCTCTAGTGCCTATTGGACCGGTGTTCTCATATGAGGACAAAGCTTCTTTTCCAGACATATCTAAAAACGACCAGGAAGAGCATGCAATTCTCACAAAGTTCTTTCAGGCCCCAAGTCAGAAGTCAATTGTGGTGGCGGGGGTATCCTTTTCTTTCTTGTCGAGGAAGCGTAAGTCAAGAAAAAATAGGTCGAATAGTGTTCTTATATGAGAACTAGGGTCAAGACACGACATTGAGTGCCCGTGGGCAGTGTTATCGAGCACGCTCAGTGTTTAGATGTCGGTCATTCCATTGCGAAAAAGTGATTCATATCACTTTTGATTAAACCGCCCTAAAAAGAGTTACGGCTCAAACAAAGCAGGGATGATAGAAGTTCAGATACGCATCCATATATCAATTTAATCTCATCCAACATGAGTCAATGAGTGCGAGTAAGGCAGCTTCTGCGGGATACGGCTTCACCCATGTTTGAAAGAATGACATATAACTTGCAACGTTCGAATCGTTCCACCGCACTCCTAGACAAGCACGTGCATATTCCCAGTACTCCGGGAAGAATCCAGCCATTTCCCAGTCAACGATGGAGGCGAGTCTTCCGTGTTGGATAAGGATATTGGAGGGTGTGAGGTCACCATGGGAAAAGACGACGTTATGTCCTTCCTTCAACAATTTCCTTAGCAGAGAAATGAAATGGGACAGGGGCTTTTCCCGCTTGTACAGTGCGACGAGAAAGTCATTAAAATCATGTTCTGTGTCAAAGGGACCTTCCATTGTGGCAGTCATGAGAATGTCACAGACGAAGGGCTTTTTGCCCACTGCACCGATATAATTTTCCGAAATGTGCCTCAATTCATGCAAGTGGTTGTGGAGATCCTGTGCGAGTGCTTCCTTTTCGACTTTGGAAAGTCTGGGCCATGCGCTCAAGAGTGTTTCACCGGGGATAAAGTCAATGACCATATACATTCGACCACGTTCATCTACATGGGTGCCATACATTTTTGGAATCGGGATCGAGGTGTGTTCGGCAACGAACGTCATTGTCTCGCTCTCTGTCTGCAAGGAGTGCACATCCCCCCCCATTTTGACGATTATCTGCTCGTCCACACATACAATCTCAGACCTTGCACACGTGATGCTTTGCAAGACTCGTACTTGCTTGCAGTGCGCTAAGTGTGGAGCAAACTTTTGCAAGGCCATTCTAACGTTGGCATTCATGGGTACCATTTCCACTTTTGCCTCGCTATCATTTTGGATAACAGAATCAGATGAAGTTGTCATCTTGAAGAGGATCGGAGCAATAGAGCCAGAAAGACGTACCCTTCAGACGTACACTTTCTCTTTCTCTGATTGTGCGGCTGGTCTTAGTACGATGGGTGCGCCGTCAGGGCAAGGGGTCATTTGTTCTTGACATCTGAAGGTTAACTCCACATCTCTGCAGAGAACCGGCCGGTGCCAGAGGGAGTTGCAGCCGGCAGGGACTGCGTTCCTAAGACGTTAGGCGAGGTGAAATGAAAACGTGGACGAAACAAGAAGAACAAAAAAAAAAAAAAAAAAAACGCTACACGTGGCTGGAAACTGGAAAGATGGGGGGGTTCACAAGTTGAATTGATGACTAAAAAGTTGAGTTGATATCAACTTGTCAACAACTTGTGAACCTCAAGGGGAACAGAGGCGGGCCAGGTGCATCGCAGTCAGCACTTGGTGATTTTTAGGACCACTTGTTTCTATACCTTTATGCTATCTTCGTGGACCAGGGCTTGCCGGCAGCAGCGTCAAATCTACGTACAGACGTGATTTTTAGGACCACTTGTTTCTATGGAAAAAGCCCTTGACACAGATGCACAAAGTCCAAATGAGGGCCTATAGAATAATATTCTATATTATGTATAAAGTTTACCTTTATGCCATCTTCGTGGACCACATTCGTGTTTCACATCGCCTCACTTGAACCGCCGCCTCGGACAGAGCCCTTCTCCGTCGGGTTCTCCGTCTAGATACCCGCCACTCTGTCATCCACCCTCCCCTCACCCCATGGCCTCCTTCGTGCCCAGCCGTGCCTTCTTCCCCTCGCCCACGCAGCGCCCAGCCTCGGACCGCGCACCGCGTCGCGGCGGCCTGCGGCCTCCGCCGCGCGTGTCCCGCCGCGCCCGCCTTGCCGTGTGCAGCGCCGCACCCCCTGCTCCTGCGACCGGCGCCGCGCGCGCGGCCGCGAGCGGCCTCGTGTGGGCCGTGGGCCACTCGCGCGCCGGAAAGCTCGTGGCCGCCGTGAAGGAGGCGGTGGCGTGCGCCTCGTCCACGCTGGAGCGCCAGCAGGTCACCGCGCGCCTCGCCCTCGTCTTTGTGCAGTCGACGGCCGAGCTCACGCCGGATGACGAGGTGCGCCGCGTGCTGCCGACGCTGAAGACCACGCTGGCTATGCGCCGCACACTGGGCCCGGAGCTGGACGTGTTTGGGAGCACCACGGCCCGCTACGGCGCGGCGGAGGGGGAGTACACCGTCTCCGTCGCGCTGGCGAGCGTGCCGCAGGGCACGCTCGTCACCCGCTTCCAGGTCGACACGCGCGCGGACTTTGACATCGACTGGAAGCAGGAGCAGTGGCAGCACTTGGTGGGAGTCAACCTGGGCGACGCGGAGAGCGCGGCGGGCGAGGCCGGCGGCAACCTCGCCCTGCTCATGCTGCAGCATCCGGAGTTTGAGGGGATGGAGGAGCTGCTGTCGGGGCTGGACTTTGCGTACCCGGGCGTGCGCAAGTTCGGGGCGCTAGCGGGGCGCGCGCACGCGCTGGACACGGTGTACATGTTCGGCGCGGAGGGGCTGGTGACGGCGGGCGTGGTCGGGCTGGGGTTTGCGAGCAAGGACGTGGCCGTGGACGTGACGGTCGCGCAGGGGGCGCGCGGCGTCGGGCCGATGATGGAGGTGACTGGCGTGCGCGACGGGAACGAGGTGTGCAAGGTCAAGGAGGTCGGCACGGGCGGGACGGCCGAGGGCGGGCCGATGACGCTGCTGGACATGTGGGCGGACACGGATGTGATCTCGCAGGAGGACCGGCGGCACGCGCGCGAGTACCTGCTGTTCGGGGTGGAGGTGCAGAAGGTGAGCGACCTGGCGCTGTCGTCGGTGAGCTCGCGGGGCGCGGGGGAGGGCGGGGCGGCAAGGAGCGAGGCGGCGGAGGGCGAGGCGGCGGAGGGCAAGGGGCGGAAGGAGGAGCAGAGGGTGGACATGGTGATGCGCAAGGTGGTGGGGTTCGGCGGCGGGCGAGGGTCGCTGGCGGTGGAGGGCGGGGACGTGCGGCTGGGAAGCCGGGTGCAGTTCCAGATCCGGGACGCGCAGGCGGGCACGGACGAGCTGGTGGGGCTGTTCAACCGGGTGATGGTGGAGGGGTCGTCCAAGGCGATGGAGGGGATGTCGCTGACGGGGGCCGTGCTGCTGGTGGACAGCGAGCGCGGCGAGCATCTGCATGGCGAGAACCAGGGCGAGGCGGACCGGGCGATGTACGTGGAGCGGTTTGGCGTGGGGGTGGTGACGCTGGCGTCGCAGGGGCAGATCGGACCGCTC